TGAGAGAAATAAAGTTAAAATGTTGCAATAATATTAACCTAATTATTTGAATAAAATAATAATTGAACATTGAACATAAAATATTTATTGATTTGTCGACTCAAAAACGCACTCCGTATAATTTTAAAATGGTTGTTTATTTTTTTTTTTTAAATCCAGTTATAGCAATTTATTATGAGGAGCCCTAAATTAAATTTTCTAGTATCAAGTATGGTTTATGATGTTTACAGTTTTTAGTAGATACAGCAAACAGAAACTCGTTAATATTTTTCAATTTTACATTTTTATATTACTTTAACTTATTCTAAAAAAATTTATTTCAGTTTCGATTTTATTAATTAAATTAATACAAGATTGAACAGAATTAAAATCAATGTCAAATCTAGTTATTTAAACACATTTATATAATTATACATCTAAATTATACACATAGAAAATAAAAAATAAATGTTAATACTGTTAATATAGAACACTTATTTATTATTTAGCCATTTATAGATAATTTTAAATATTTTTAGGCGAGTCATAATTTTAATATAGCATATTTAAACGTTTCTCTGATAAGACATCATTAATGCTTTGATTTAGAAAGTAAAAAAATTTAAATATAGTTAAAATTTACTTGAGTATAGTGGCGCAATTTGTATTGAAAAATTATAATAATATAGTGTATTCGTTATTGGATTTGCATTGACTATTTATTAAAAAGCGTAAAAAGCGTAAAACTTTACAATTTGCAGTATTTTTGAAATCATAAATTGCTTTTATCTTAGGTAATTATGTAAAATACGACCAATTTCAAAATATTTTTTTTTGTAAATCATGTTAAAACAAAAGCTATTGTAATATAATAATTAATATTACAGTAAACTAAAACATTAAGGAAATAATATTTTTTCTGAATTTTTAATTAGTAATTTTACTGGCTTTTACTAAAATGAATACTATATTATTAGTATTACCTATTAAGTACCCACCCTAATTAATACCTATTTTATAATATAAAACATAAGTGTAATTTATAAATTAATACAAATTATTTTAAATATAGCTAATATAAGTATCTAGTAAAGACATTAAATTACTATTTGGAACCTGGATAATACCAAGAAATAATCTATTTAAATATAATTAATGAAATAACAAATTAATAAAAACGTAACGTAAACTTATATAGTTAAATCTGACAACCTTAATAAAGTTCTTTTTCGTCTGTTATATTTAATGTAATATTTTATATTGTTTTTAAATTTCAAAAGTTTTGTCTTCGTGCCTTTACGCTAACTACTAGGTATATTATAGCTAAATCCTGATAAATGCTGTAAATACTGCAGTCTTGTAAAAAGATACTATTAAAAGGTATTTAGAATAGGTGTATCTATTAATATCAACGCAAGAAAAAACATATAGGATTAGGTATAATAAATAGTTTAAACTGCTCATTATCAACTATGCAAGTACCTATTTAAAATATAATTCATTAAAAAATTCGTTATTCAAATATTAAATTGTAATTGTATGTATTTAAATAATCTAAGGAATGTGTTTGTTCTGTAAAAAGAAATAATTGGAATACATAGATGATAATATCTTTATCAGTGATATAGTTTTTGTTAAAGGAGCTTGTCTGGGATTCTTTTATATTTGTGACAGAATTTAGGTAATCAGCAATAAATATTCATTAAATACTATTAATAATTCAAATATAATTCAATATACTCATTTTTAAAGTATTATTTACAAATAATACATATTTAAAGTTCAAGGTTCAAGTATAATTTTTTTACAAATACGTAGGGTTATATAAATATTTTTATTTTAAAAATAAACTACCTAGTAATTATTCACACATTATAATATACAATATATTTTTAAATTATTATACCTACTTAAATATGTATATATATTGATAGGTACTTGAATATAACTATAATTGTTTTTAAATGTCACTGAATCGAATTAACAGCATGAATCCATCTCTTTCATACTTATGTAAATTATTACCTAACGTATTGTTAAATGTTGAAATTAATGTTAACAAATAGGTACTTAGGAAAATATATGAAAATAATACATTTAATTTGTTCATAAATATAATAGGCAACTACTCACAAGTAACAATGTTATAATAGTACAAAATATGAATTATTTAAGTAATAAGTACCTATACTTATAAGTAATAACTAATAAGTATATTTATTTAAGTATATATTATGTATGTTATTATTTTATATATGTAGTAAATTAATAATAAGAATGATAAGATGATAATTTAAGAAATGTTTTTATCAAAGAAAACCAAGGGAATTTAGAACACTTTTTAATATTCATATCTTAAAATAATAAAAATAATGTAAAAATTGTATTATCTAATGTATTACAGGTTCATATTATGTACATAAAACAAGATTTTGAGAAATTTATATTTTTTAATATTCATATTGACCTTTATTTGTGATATATTAATATTATATAATATGTAAAATGTAATATTTTTTTTTTGTTATTTAATTAAAAGCAATGTATATCTGGCCATTTTTGTTCTAGGCCATATTTTTTTGGACCCTTATTTCCTTAGCTATTTTTACCGCGTTTATTAAAATACTGCAGTATTTTAGATCACCAGCTCATATACACCTATACATATATATTATATATTATAGAATACAATGCAATGAAAAACAATCAATTACCTACCGAAAAATATGAAAATTTAATATTTTGAACATTTAACATCATTGCTAAAAACAAAGTTTATTAAATTAGATAGCTTAATTCTGCAAATCGCAAAGTATTATGGAAATTAATAATGTTCAGAAGTAGGTAGGAATTAGGTAAATAATTTTGTTAATATATAGATCTATACATAATAACATGTTTATGTGTATAATATACGAGTTTTATAAGTATAACGCTCAAACGATAACTTTTGTTATCTGGATTCCAGCTTATTTTAGTAAATTAGTGTTATCTAGCAAAAATATTTTTGTACATATATTTTATACATATATAATTTATTACTTTATTAATGTTTTTTTACGAAACGTATTTGAAATGTATTTAGGCTATCATTAAGGTACATTATAAAATGTGTTTTCCGCTGAATCTTTCTTCCTTGTATAGGTAATAATATAGCTGAGCTATAGAAGTATAAAATTTAACCTATAGGTTATAGAGCATATATATAATATATAGTAATAAATAATAATTTATTTAAAATAATGTTTTGAGTTTTCGTGGTTTTGACACGATTCTTTGTCTACGTTATTTAATTGAACAATTGAACTTATATTGTTAAGAAAAATGAAAAATTTATCGTAAAATCATTTTTAATGTAGACGATCTTTACGTTACAATATTCTAGTTGTACATTATTCTAAATAATTTTAAATGCGTAGGTACCTAGCTAATCTTTTATATTTTCTATAATCTGATATTTATTTTGCATTTGAATACATATTCGAAATAAAAACTTTTTAAAAATATTTATTTTTGTAGAATTAGATATAGTAATATTTAGCTAGGTACCTAATTATTGTTATCTTGAAACAATAGAACATAGCCATATAAGTACACGACATTCGTTAAAATTCTTTTAAAATATTTTTATTACCTATATTTGTTATGTTATAGGTACCTTGACTACTTGATGATTTCAAATTATTTTGAAAAATATTATTTGCTATTAGGTAAGTATTTATTTACCACTATACAGTGGAGACCCGACAAATTACAGTGTCCATGTAGGTCTTGCAACTGCATGTGTTCTTGAAATGAATGTGTAAATTAGGTAGGTACTATAACTAGGTGTTATAAATTAATTTCTACGGAGGTGTGAATTATAGTAATTTACAGATACAGATTCATTAAATATTTAATCACTAATAGACACTAAACAATTTTGGAATATTATATTTAAAATACATTTTTAAACAAGTTTTGTGAGCATAATTTTGAAGCGAAGTACGACAATTTTTTACTAATAAAATAGAGTTGGTGTGTGAATGGCTATATTTTCATTAATTGATGTGCTTTCAAAATTCTTCTGTGCTCTATTACTACTAGATATAGCCCTCTAAAAGATGGGTAATTGGCGGTCCACGTATATTTTTTATTTGGCCTTTGCTACATTTTAAAATTACTCTGTTATAACATTTAGTGTTTATTTTGTTTTTTAACATTAAAACATATTGTAAATACAAAAAGTAAATGTTAATTGTAAATTAATAAGTAGGTACCTATTCAGTTATCGTGAACTAGTGGACTGTGAGTAGGAGGTTATCTTAACGATATAAAACTAACTCACCATTAAACATTACATATTATATTTATTTAATATTTTATTTATATGTATTTTTTTACTTATTAGTTATTCTAATTATTATATTTTCTGTTTAGTGAATATGTTTCTAAAATTTGATATGATTAGCAATGGATTAGATCCAACTTGATCATGATATGTAGGAAATAAATGATAATATTTGGAAACAAGTTACCAATTAATCAAAATATTTAATTGAAAAATACTGTTTGTTACCAATTTAATTATTATAATAAAATTGAAAAACAATTTACTTGATTGGGGATCAATTCATGGGTGAATTACTGTGAAAATTTGTACAGTATTTTTATTTTAATAATCTAAAATCTAAGTACTTTTCAGTATACTGTATTTGTGTTTGAACACTGTAGAAAAAAACGATACGCGTCATTTCGATCATTTTTATATAGCTGTGTAAGTACCAAGTGGGGAATCTGAATCCACTGCCCACTAGTGATAATAATATTTTTGTATTTTATTTCTTTATTGTTTCGATTTGTGTTTTCTCAGTCATCGGCGCGCTGCTCTTACGCAGCAAGTTGCAATATTGTAGGTGGGACGTTCCTTTAGTGGAGAGGTAGGCGATAATTGTAGTGAAAGTGTAAGGCCTGTATGGTTGGCAACACCGCAGTTATTTATCAATGTTTGATTATTATCATTTTCGGAAAGAACTATCTTGGACGTCGTCTCTACCCGCTGCACCTCGATCGTAGGTAATACTCTAATATTTTTCTCCGCATCGATTTAATTTTTCGGGGAGGAAAATTAATACAGTGTTTTTTATTCTTTTAAATAGATTTTATTTGTTTTACTCTTTCCGCGTTCATTTTATTACATTCAGTTGTCCGTCCTTCTGTCCGTTCATCAATAAAAATATAATATAGTCACGACCGTAAACGTGTATTTTATTAGACGTTCGTACTCCTTAGACCGAGTGTATGTACTTTGAAGCAAAACAATTGTCGAAATCGTGCGTTGTTTATTAAGTTTGCATCTCTGAATCATCGTGACCAACAAATCATTTTACGAATCTTGAATTCATTTCGTAAAACGGCTGTTTGAATCGTTTGAATTGTAGTGTATCTGATAATAACGAAAACAAGAAACTCGCAATAAGTTAAAGTAATTTTTTTCTTTATCCGGCGCTGATTTACAAAGTAACTGATCAAGAACCGCATATAAGCTTTTTGAACGTGTCTGAAAACTTCCATTAAAATATACACTACAATGATAACTATTGTGCTTCTGTCAGTGTCTGCATAGTGTTGCTTATTTTGTTGCTGCCATAATTGCAGCTTTGTTTGAAGTTAAAGATATTAGACAAATTTAAATTGAGATGTATGCAAAAGGAAAGGGCGCAACAGTGCCATCAGATGCTCAGGCTAGAGAAAAGTGAGTCACTATTTTCATTTAAAGTTTAGATTGCAGTAGGTATATGCGTAGATTTAATATATTGTGTAGTTATTTTATTAGTTTATTTTGTTTATTTATGTGTTGAGATTTAACTTGTATCTATTAATAAGTATTAAGTCTAGATAATTACAAAATATAAATACAATCCATGTAAATAGTTTTCTTATTAGTTAAAAATTATCTTATGTATTTATAGTTTATTAAGTAGTAAGGAATTAACTATCAAACTTAAGGTACTCATATAACTCTATTATCATTGTTTTAATTTTTTTCTATGATTATTGGATCAAAAAAAAAAAAAATTAAAATTAAAATACTTTTAAACCACCTATCAGTTATTGTTGACATAATTATAATCTGTATATTTATGAATTAAATTATTATCTTCTTTACTATAATCATACTCCATACTCATATTTTTCATTAAATGATTAAAGGCTTCATTCATGCTTAAAATAATTCCTAGAAATAAACATTTATATATATATATATGTGTGTCATTGACCAATAAATACACATTTAAAAATATTGAAAAACATTGTACAAGTTTATTGATTGTTTATTAAATCTATAATTTTGTACTTAAGTTATAAAATACTTTGTATTATTAAGTAATATATATATATTATGTATTAAAGCTTTAAATTTTAAAATATATTGATTAAGCAAAGTAAGAATGTATTAAAAATAAAGTAAAACAATAATCTTAAAATTATTTGAGTATTATATAAGTAAAAAAGGTAGAAGCCAGTTGTGTTTTAAGAGAAAAATTCAGATAAAAAGATTTCACGGTAATTTGGTTATATAATTAGAAAATAAATATAGTAACATTAGTGAGCGAATCTAATCATGAAATTTTATCATATTATTGAATTTATAGTTTATTTATAACCAATGGACACATTTTCACCCAAGTACATGTCAATGAACACATACAATTTTTTAAAGCCACAAAAAAAATAAAATAGAATTATATTACCAGAAAAAATTGTGAGATTTTGGTTAGAAGGTTTTAAATTAAATTTTGATTCATCAATAAGTGAACTATATTTAAATCAAAACAACTAATATTTTCTGAAATTTCAGTTAAAAAACAAATATTAAAAATGTTTTAGTAAAACATAGAAAACTTAAAATGATTCTAATTTAAAGCAATTATTGATGATTGGGTTTAAATACCAACTGTTTGTGTGTTGACTGTAGATGGTTTAATCCATAAAAGTATACTTCATTTATTAAGAATAAGAATTGGGTAAACAAAACAAATATGTATATACAAATGTTCTTTCTATGACAATTCGTTATAAATAATATGTATTTGCATAAAAATTCAAACCTTACAATAATATGAAAAGGATTGGTGCTGATTCTTTGTTCTATTAGTTTAATATAATTACTTGTGTTGGGTGTACTTTTTAAATTCTAGTGGCTCATAATTATTGATAAAAATTGTTGACATTAATATAAAAATCAAAATTAGGATAGAGATATCTTTAAATATTTAATTTTGTTATAATAAATGTATTTATAGAATTAAAATAAACACTAATTTGTTCAGTAGTTATTTTTCTTTCAATATAAGATTTACTAGTTAAAAAATTTAAGATTAATATCACGTAGTTAGTACTGTTTACATAAATATAAATATAAAAATGTATTTAACCTAATGTTTTAATTGAAGATGTAAATAATAAATAAAAAATAGAATATAATGTTATATTTAGTTATTAATAAAAAAATATATATTATAATTTTGGCTATTTTAAGTAAAATATTTAAATTACTCGTTCTTAATAGTGTAATTTAATAGATTATTTGGTAATGTTGGGCTATTGCTGCCAATACTAATTGTCAATAAAAATAGTGTAGAGATTTGAAGTATTATTAGAATATTAAAAAACTAATGTTGTAGGTGTTCAAATTTTCTGTTTTGAATCTCAATATTACATGATATTTTATAATTATATAAATATAGTAAACCCAATTAAATTATCTTAGTGAATTGGCATTTAATTTTTTGTTGGTTGAAATTGTTTGAAATTATGTCCAGTAAATTGGTTAATAACTAAATCATTTTAAGTTTGAATTTAAAGACAGCAAATTAAATTATTAATACTGATAAAAAGGAGTTAGATAGATGTTCTATATTTTATAGCTTTCTACTATGTTGTAAAATCTTCTTTAACCAGATACCTTCCAACAGTAATTTTTTTTTTATTTATTACTTTTAATGGTAAAACCTCTGAATAGTGGGCATCTATCCTAATTTTAATATAAAAATAATGATAAAACAATGACAGAAAAATGCACTTACAATAGTTTAACAATAAAAAAATTGTTTAGACTAATTTTTTTTTTATGTTTGTATGTAATTTTTTTTTTATATTTGAATATGTATTATAAAAATATTAAAATTATGAAATTAAAACATTAACTAATAATGTTATTTAACTAAATACATATAAATTCAATAATTTACTTCCTTTAAATAGGACAAAATATTGGTAACCAAAAGGTTCTGTTATTCAGAGGTTTCACTGCATATTAAAATTGAATTAAAACTATATATTTATGTATAAATATGTAAACTTATAAGAATAATTATAATCATTTTTGCTATTTATTTATTTAGGTTAGCATTATATGTTTATGAGTATTTATTACATATTGGAGCTCAGAAAGCAGCTCAAACATTTTTAAACGAAGTGAGTACTTAGTTATACTTAATTTGTTTTGTGTTCTATATTTATTTAAATATATATTTTTTTGTATTAGGCAGAATATGTCAATTATAGGTTATAATAATTTTTATTATTCATTAAAATTTGTCAAATAATAAATTGGACATTAATATGAGTTATTTTTATTTATTATTTTAGATTAGATGGGAAAAGAATATCACATTAGGTGAACCCCCAGGGTTCCTACATTCTTGGTGGTGGTAAGTATCATAAATAAAATATGCAAACTAAGAATTTTTTTTGCATTTACAACATTTCAACTAAATATGTTTAAAAAAGTTTTAAAATTCAGTTTTTAGTTTTTATTTCTTGATAAACTGTTTAAGTGGATTTTTTTTTTTTATTAACTATTAACAATATATATAATCTGTATGCATAGATATGCGAAAGCAAAGTTTTCTAACATACATTGTTATATATTGAGATATGAATGATAAAGAGAAAAGCTACTTAGTGATAGAACCCTAATTAGTATATTTATAATTTTACTTTTATTTATTTCATAATCAAAAATGTCTTAACATTGATATTTAATGATTTTTTGAGAAAGATTGTCAATACAAGCAATGTAAAATGATGTATTGATATGAGATCAGTGACTTTGACTAGTAGGGTAATTAGGAATCAATTATTTATCAGTTGGAAATTGTATATGCACTTTATGTACTCGTATAAAATTATTTATGTTTTAGTTGTTAATAGTAATAGATTTTAAAAAATTAAAATTAACTGTACATAACTACAAATAACTGTGTTTATCATAGCTTATTAGTTATTAGCATATATTATTAAAACTATTTAAATTTATAGGATGTAGATTCTTTTTACTAATAAAAATTATATTTTTAAATTCTTTTTTGATTAACTTGATTTATATTTTTAGTGTATTTTGGGATTTATATTGTGCAGCTCCAGAACGCCGTGATACATGTGAACATTCAAGTGAAGCTAAAGCATTTCATGATTATGTATGCATTTAATAGTTGTTAAAATTATTATACATAGTTATTATAATAATAGGAATTTTTATTTTTTAGGGTTTTGTAAATTCAGGTTATGGTGTAAATGGTATTGCACATGTAAGTAATTTAGATCACAAAATATTTAATTTTATCAACTAATATTATCAAGACAATTAAATTAAATGTATTTCCTTATAGAATGCTGGACCTTCTCCTAGTCCTTTAGGACAAATGCCTCCAAATGATGGAATGCCAGGAGGTCCAATGTCTGGTGGATTTTTTCCAGTTCGTATATTTTAAAATAATTTATAAATTTTAATTCTAGTAATCTCTGATAAAATAAAATAAATTTCTTTGTATACATTTTAGAATGCATCAATGAGACCATCACCTCCGAGTCATTCTTCAGCACAACAATCTCCTCATTCTCAACCACCATCACATGGACAAATGTTATCAAATCAGGTTTGTTAATAATTTTATTTTAAATTTTAAATTGCGTAAAGTATGTGTCAAATTTAAATGCTGATACTTTATTTTGTTTTAGCCTTTTATGGGTCCTCGTTATCCAGGTGGTCCAAGGCCCGGAATTCGCATGTCACAGTTAGGAAATGATTTTAATTCTGTAAGTTAACAATCATATAATTATCACTATATAATACATGAGTAACTTATAAATTAATAAATAATTTATATTTTAGCCTACAGGTCAGCCAATGATGCCTGGCCTGGATCCTTTAAGACAAGGTAAACTATTTTATGATATTTAACTTGTTATGTTAAAACATTAAATTAATCTGAAATTATAATTAACTTTTTAAAAATATTTGTTGTGTAATTAGGTGTATTTTAATAATTTTTATTAACTAGGAATGAAAATATAAAATATATAACTAATCAATTATTTGCTTAATAATTTTTTCTCCTGTAGGTGAAGCTGGAGAATATGTTGTAGGTTGGCAAGGTAGGCCGGTATTATTTTAATTGTATTATGCACACTATTTCTTAACTCAAATATTTTGTAGTTAATTTTATAATGATGATAAAATAACACCGTTTTTCTTGGAATTTATATTAATTTTTAAGTCTTTTTAAATTAAATGTCTTTATTCTTTTATTTTATTTTGCATTTTTTTGTATTGGATTCATATTTTAAAATAACTGTTATGATCTATTTATTTTGTTGATTTTTTTTCTGTTATGGAAAAGCATGGTATAACCAATATGTTCTGTTGTATTTTTAATAAGTTTCCAGCATAAATATGGTTATAAATTATTGCCATTTCCTTTATTAAATTCTTAATTCAATTTCATACATTGTGTTTGATGTTATTAAGTATAATTAAAATGTGTATATTTGATGAATTGTATTTTTAATTAATAATAAAATAAATAAAACAATTATAGTGTTCTACAAATGCTTTAAAATTCAAACTATTCAGAGTTAAAAAACTTAAAGAAAAAATACTCACACAACAATAAAAATCTTTTAAGTTAACTCCATTTTTTTGTTCTATTTTATTAGTAATAAAATACGACTGATTTTCTACATTTTTATTTTAAATCTAACTTGAAAAAGTATGATCTTTTTTTTAGATCAATATCTAATAAATGAATAAATAATTATGCTTTAAGTATAATTTTTTGTTTATTACTAAAACTTAATAATGTTTAACTAAAAATTGCTTTATTTAGGTAGTTGTATGGTTAAATATTAATATTTGATTAACAGACGTCTAAAATTACAAATTTTGAATAAGTCTGCATTTTTTTTTTTTTAAATAAATATTTATAAAATATAGTATTAATTTATTACATTTTAATTTAATTTAGGATCATCAAATTATAGAAAAAAATAATAATATTTTCATACTTATGTATTATAAAATATATTTTAATATTAGACTAAATGGAATGTTTTAAAATTTTCTCCTCTTTGTCAAAATTTAAAATGATTATATATTTTAAATCATAAGGAGTGGTAACAAATAAAATACTTCTTAGAAATTCTAAAAAAATGTATTCTCCTTTTAAATTAATATTAAAAATATTATTTTCCATTGTAATGTTGAATATGACTTTTTTAGTAAACAAGAGTGGATGACTATGCGTTGATTAGGTAGATAGAGTAGATAGTTGGTTTTAAGTTGCTATAAGAGGAATCTATTTAATGTTCAATTGTTAATGTTAAAAATATCAAAACTTAAACTATGCAATACCATCAGCTAGGGTGCAGCCAGTGAGGGGTCTATATGGTCCCTAGACTTATCTTTCAAAATATCATCAACCTAAGCCAGTATATTTTTACTCATATTAATTTTTCATTATGTACAATGATTTATTATTAAACTCAAACCCGTTTAATAACAAGGTATACATTTTTACTAAGGACATTTAATCATCTTATATATTTACCTACATTCACTTATAAGATTAGGAGTGTTGTTATGTCTATTTTTATTTTTATTGATTTTAAAATAAATAAAATAGAATTCAATAAATAATTATGGAAAGTCATAAATCTAATTATTTATGTATGCTATAGTTTGGATTGATAAAATTTTTCTTATAAGGTTGCTTAAATTTTTATTTTTATTTATCGAAGTTGTTTTAATTAATTAATATAAATATTTAAATATTAATCTATTATTTCATATTAATGTATTGATTATTTTTTTTATTATAATTTTTTTTTAAGCACATATTATTGCATTAAGAATACATATACTGTTTTAATATTCAAACAATAAAAACTAGACTTCAACGTATATGTTTGTTCATTATATGCACTTCATAATTAGTTATTGCTTATGTAAATGTAATTTATTTCATATATAAAAAAAAAAAACAGATATTTTTCATGTGTACTATTTATTTAATTAATAGGAGGTATGGGGCCAATGAATCCTCGTATGAATCCTCCTCGAGGTCAAAATACTCAAAACATGAGTCCATTAGGATCTTACAGCCCTGGAATGCGTGGACCTCCTCCAAATACAACATTAGGCCCTGGTGGTGGTGGGCCAAATATGCCTTTATCTATGGGTGGACTTGTTGGAAGACCACAATGGCAACCAAATGCTAATACTGTGAGTTATTTTTTCTTATTTTTTTTTTTTTTAATTGTATTGTTAATTTATTTACCTACCATAGATTGGTTGTGATAAAATTATATAAACAAATATCAAGTTAAGTTAACAATACTATTTTAAACATTGTTTGATTAACATGTTCATTGTTATTGTTTTGCTGTTATAGTGTTGAGTTATATTATAATTTCTGTGTGGTGTTTTTTATTTTATTTTTACAGATTAATTCAACTTTTTAATTTATTAATTTATAAATTGTTATAAGCTTAAAATTTTTAATTTGTTATACATCCCTAGTAAAAATATTGATATAATTACAACTAAAGTTAATGATTTTTTTTATTTATTTATTTATTTAAAAGCATCTGTATTTTCATTTAAGATTTTGAATGTAACCAATTCAGTTACTACTCAAAATCAAACCTGGTAACCCAGAAAACATCTTGTAATACAATTTTAATAAAATTTTTTGACAGTTTACATTGTACAACAACTAATATAACCTCTACACAATAATATATAATTAAATTCTCTATTAAAGTTGAATTGGATTTTGTCGCTTAAGAACTGTTTTAATAAATTACTATTATTGTACAGTTGAAAAAATGGAAAATAGTAATCTATTTAATGAAATATTTACACATGTAAGGTCGATCTTAGCTTATTATTGAATAAATTGAAAATATTAATCCTGACCCTCTTTTTACTTAATTTACATTTTATTTAACTGTTATAACACTTTTAACTTATCAAGTGAAATCAAAAATACCTTTTTAGTTCTGCCTTAAATTAGAACAACAGTATGTCTCTCATCTTTATTATTTTCAAATGAATTATTCTACATTACTACATACTATATTAAAAAAAATTTACTATTCTATTAACACATGAAAACTTCCATAGTATCTTAAAATGCATGCAATTTTTATTAAGAAGTTCTAAATTATATAATCAATTACTTGTCTTTGAATATCGTATCACCAATAAATGATTATAGTGTAGTAATTTCTTGTTTAAAATGTTAGGATTTTTAAAGCAATATTATTAAAAATTTAAAAAAAATAGATTGATAACATTTGAATATTCAAAAACCAGTTTTAATATTTATTGAACATAAAATTGTAATAACTGACATTTATCATAATTTAGCTAAATTGTGATGGCATATGGCCTCAATAGTCTAATTAAATGACAATTTTTTAATAACTTTATTTCTATATAAATTACTTAATAGTGTTACATGATTCTATGATTGTTTAAAAATAATTTCTGAAATAAATTGTAATATTTCTTCTTACTTAATGAACCAACTAATCAAATGTTATTTTATTATTTTGACCTTTTGCTAAGCTAATAATATTAACTTAAACAGTTTAACCACTAAAACAGAAATTAATTTAAAATATATTATAATGTTCTTACATTTTATTTATTTTTAGTGACTCCTTAAACATTATTTTTATGACCATATCATATAAAATTATGTTATGCATTTCACTGTTTAGATTGTTTATTTAAAAAGAAAATTATTGATTAAAATTTAAAATATTCATTTATACACATAAATATTAAATTTTTTGTTTATTATAAGAAGTAATTTATTACAATAAACATATAGGATTCACTTTTCTCTTGATCAAATGTTTTTGTCAGAATTATAACTCATAAAATATAATACTTACATTTAAATATAGTACATATAAATTCATTGAGTCTCCTTATATATATAAAAAAAAATTCATTGAACTAATCAAAATGTTTCATTAATATTTTTTCAGCCTATGAGTTATTCATCATCGTCACCAGGAGCTTATGGAGTAAGTTTAAATTTAGTAATTGATTTTAAAAATACCTAAAATAACCTTTTTTTAACTAAATTAAATAAAAGTTATGTAGATATTCATAATATTTATAGTCTTGATAGTTTTAATCGCGAATTAGTAAAAATATTGATAAAAATAGATTTAAGGTATTAAATAAAATATTATATAGGGACCTTCGGGATCAGGCGGCCCTCCTGGACCAGGCACACCAATAATGCAAAGTCCTCAAGGTAAAATAAATAAATATAGGTAGTTCATTAAGTTGTTTATGATCTTAATTTGAGCAATAATGTTCAAGATTCTTCAAATTCTGGAGGAGAAAGTATGTACACAATGATGAAGCCGGTTACTGGAGGGAATATGCCTGGTGTAAGTTATAAATTAAGAGTATTTTGACAATTATGTATATTTCATACTTAAATTTTGTTTCCTTAAAATACATGAAAACTATTTTCAGGATTTTCCAATGAATAATGCATCAGATAGTGGACCATTAGGACCAATGGGTCCTAATACAATGAATTCGGTTTTGAATGGCGAAGGACTAGATGGTATGAAAAATTCACCTGCACCGGGTGGCCCGGGTACACCGAGAGAAGATAGTGGAAGTGGCATGGGCGATTATAATTTATCAGGATTTGGAGGAGCGGGAGAAAATGTAATTGGCCTGGATATATATTAGTTTAGGGTGTTGAAGACAATCGATGAACTACATATTGATTAAGGTGTGATGACAAGTGTGTGGTGACCAAGAATCATAAAGCGGCAAATAATTACAATTGATTGTAACTTAAGCTTCTTTTTTATTAATGTAGTATTAAAATGCATTTAAATTTTTTTTAAACATTCAGTATTGTTCACCATTTTTTTCATCTCACCATTATCGAGTTGTTATTCATCTTTTTTGGTCAGACTTTTTTTTTAAATTTGTAACTTATAGTTTGTCATAAATTGCCTTAAGCGTTTAACAAAAACCATCTTTGTGAATTATACATTTTGTAGATTCCCAAAAAAATATTAAAGACATAAAATAACTTTTAAAAGCAGTATTGCAGTGTATTTTGCCTGAATTTTAAATTGGTGTTCATAGAGCTTATGCATATATTTATTTACTAGTACTTGGTATGTTATATTTTGGTGTAGATGTGTTTTGTTTTTTTCAGATTAGTATTCTTATTCTTCAGTCTACATGTTTCTTAAGTTTTATTTTTACACTAAATTAGAAAATATGTCAACTAAGTTAAACCCCTACCCAGCTAAAAATTAATGAAAAGTTATAAAATTTTAAATTAAATAATTAATCAATATTTTATCTTATGTGAGTAAGATTCACAGAATAACAATATTGAATGGTATTTATTTTGAATTACATTTTAAAAATAAAAATATTAAGCATCAGATGAATCGATTTGTTTTTTTTTTTTCTGTAATATTTTGATTTGTATGGCAAAATTTTGGAAGCTGAAATAAGTTATATGTAAACTATCCATATTTTTTTAATTATTACTATTTATTATCAGTATAGACTTTAACCAGATTTAATATCTATTCCCTATTTTAAATTATACAATTAATATCCATGTTTGTGTTTGAGCTTGGTTAAATAGCTTAACTAATTATGACATTTAAATTGAGGGGTATCCTACAAGAAAAAAAAAGACTTGCTAATTAGTAAATCTGTCATCATTATTCTGTTGTGTATAATTTTCTATTTTCAGTCTTTAAAAATATTTTTAATTTTTTAAAATAGGAAGAAACTTTAAAGTAAATGATGAGAAATTGACAACTTGACAAATTAATATGTTTAATAGAATCCCAATTATGCAATTAAAATTAAACTCTTATTTTTTAAAAACAATTTAAAAATAGAATCATTTATATTATCAAATTATAACTATTCAAAAAACATTTCTTTGGAGTATTAATTATTAATTTTTTATCATATTATAAAGGTAAACTATTTCAATATTCCGGTGTTGCTGTTTGTGTCCTAGTTGTTATTTGTGTTGTAAAACCATGACCGTTAGCACTTCAATAAGAGTACATTTTTATATCTTTATGTACTTAACATTTATTTTGATGCAATATTTAGGATCAGATTGAATCTGCTGCAATATTGAGTTTAAAAGAAAGTATGCAAGAGGAAGCCAAACGTTTTGAAAAGGATTCTGATCAATCAGATTATTTCATCCAATAGTGAAAAAATGATGGTATCTAAAATTTTCACGTTGTAAATTTAAAATAACTCTCGCTATAAAAATCAGTGCAATACATGTTCATCCCTGACATATTTTTTAAATTTGATAATTCATTACTAATAGAGTGTAAATATTTATGTTTAAACAATTATTATGAATATATTTAAAAAAAATTATTTTAAATCAGAAGCAACATAATAATTATGTTGTGGTAATATCATTATAATAAGTAATTACACCATCCATTTGATTACTATTTTATATACCATGATATGTAATGGCTGAAATTAAGCCATAATATTTTAAAAGCACTAACATTTTACTTAAAATGTTCTTTTATGTTTTTTTGGGACTTCTACTTTTTAAAATAACTGTGTTTTTATGTATTGATAATTATTTCTGTTTAATATAATAGATAAATCTATACATATTTTTAAAATTCGTGTTTTAATGAATTAAAAAAAGTATATAATAAATGTATTATTCAATTTAATATAACTACGTATCACAAACTATACAGTTAAATGTATTAAACATATTATATTAAGTATAAATTCATTTTATTTGTTAATAATTTTGCCATTTAGTTGTTAACTTTAAATACTTGTTTTTTAAGCAAATACCAATTGAAACTCATTTTTTTAAAACTAAATATCGATATTTATATACAAATATTTTATATATTGTTTATTAATTGCAAAGTGCAATTAGTTAAAAATAAATTCCATTTCATAATATATAATTTTTTTAAATAATTATCCAAGTGGTTACATTTGAATAATATATCTTTAATGATTAGTACAATATTTAACTATTACTTACATATTAAATCATAAAATATTTCAATTCTTATTTATCAAAACTTTATTCCAATCTATTATGGGATTACATATTAAAGTAAACCAAATTTAATATAATGGTCTCCATGTGAAATAATTTATTTAAATGAATTTTTGAAATTTGTATTCTTGATCATATGGAGAAAACCACATTGTTAAATAATTTTATTGCCTGTGTATACTTATTATTTCCTAAAAGAAAATATATACCTAATTATTTCAAATAGTTAACAACTGTAGGTTCCTTCTGTAAATAATACTAAATGGCAAATATTTTGTATAATGCATATTATTCACCATTTTACTTATAATGATCAGTTATCATTCGAACAGTCTTATAAAAATTTAACGCATACCACGAACTGTGTAAATATTTAATTAAAAGTTTTATTATTTGCTCTAAAGTCAATTTAGCAGTATGAAAAGAATTTTAAAAACATTGTAAAATTTACATGTTAAAAATATGTGTGTATATATATATATATAAATTGGTTAGCCAAATTTAATCGATCAATTTAAACTTAAAATATAAATCATAAAAAAATTTAAGAACTTCATCTACTATAAATTATTTTTACAAATTTATTATTATTTAAAGGTAAATCCGTAATTTCATATTTAATTATTATTTTTATAAATATGATGTAACATTTTATCTGAAACTTGCACCTTTTTATTATGATACATCAATTATTATTGTATATTTTTTTTTTAATCAAAATGTTATTAAATTTGTATTTATATTGAAATTAATTTGTTTCTCGTCCCAAATACATTCCCTCTAAGGTTTAATGTTTTGCTCTAGATTTTATTTAAGAAAACAATGTTGTAAAATTGTACTACTAATTTGTACGTTGTTTTAATTAATATAGTTATTATTATTATTATTATTATTATTTCTATTATACATTTCATAGTTATTTGTTTATCTGTGGTATATATTATTAATAGTTATCTGGAAAGTTAAATGGTATTTTTAGTACAATGTTCAAGTATTTTATAATTTTTTCCTTGTAAAATCTCAATTTAAATAAAATTTTATAATATATTAATTATTTTTGATTTAATAATAAATACAATTTACTGTTTATTAAAACATATATGACTTTTGAAGTTCAAAAATGAATAAAGTTATATTTTAAGTTCTACGTTTTAATGGCAATATTCTGATTATATGAGTTAACTAAAATTGTTGATTGTTAATAAAATACAAATATTAATTACCAAACAGTAAAAAAAAAAACTGACTGTTAATTAATTTAATCTCCAAATTGACCATATCACATTTACAAAAATAATAAAATTATATTTAAATTGAGATGAAAAAGTTCACGTGCAATTTTTTTATTTATCAAAAATTATTATTAAATACTTACCTAATCATATTATTTTATTGTCATATATTATGTTTTGAAATAAGAACTATTTACGATAAACTATTTATAATAATAATGTACTATGTATGCCAAATGTCTCGAGAATATTTGAGTAATAACCTAGTGGATAGTTGGTCCTCCTAGTACTTTTATTCGGTCCCATCTAATGTTACATTAATCTAGTTACACAGCAGGTAGTGTCTCCATGGATTGTGAATTTTGATCGTTTCCTATTTTATTAGTTCTACTGTAATTGAATTAGTTAATTTATAGTATAGTTTATAATTTTTATACTACGACTAGATGTACATTTTTAACTGGCTTATACACAAAATATTATGTACTGTTGTAAGCCTTAGGTAGAATTATACTTAGCTGGGTGACTGGAAATTCATGAGTACGAGACATTGGTTATATTGTTAATTTATTAAATATATCTTAAACATAACTATAATGAATTTTTTTCTATAAAATGTGTTCAAAATTAAGTAAAATATCTTCATGTATGATTTATTTAATTACAAGTTATACGATTAAGCATTTTGTTTATTTTACATTTATATTAAATCATATTCTTTATATATGTGTGTATATAAATATTAACATATATATGTATATACATATATATATATATATATATATATATATATATATATATATATATATA